AAAAATGTGAAAAATATGACAAGGCATTTAAGGACCTATAATTATATATATAACCTTAGACTTAAAGCATTCGGTCTTTTTCAACTTGAATAACTACCTTAAAATGGCAGTGTCCTGAGACAGGCCTTTCCGGGCAATGCGAAAACCATCAGTCAATTTTTGAACTAATAGGGATGTTCATTATAATGTGACGTGCTGCATTATCCTTGTTAGCTCAGGTTTTGGTCCAAGTCCAGGCAGAAATCAACGCAAACAAACAAATCATTAAGTAAAAACTGTTCAAATCAATCAGTGGGCAGTTGTTAACAAGAGTTGCAACCCAGGAATGTATTTTACCCCTTTGACGATCAAAACTGACAACTTCGGGTTAAAGCCATGATGGACAGCGACAACCTCGACGCGAGCTTGGCAAGGCCACATGCCAGATGTACAACGAGCTGCCAACATCCGGAGAATGAGAGTTTGGACTCCTTTCAATCTGAGAAAACGCTGCTTGGCTGTTTGCTTTCCAGGTTTTGTGTTTAGTCATATAAGGAATCACTCATTTCGTGTTTTAAACCTGGTTCAGGACGCAACGAAATGACCAAGTACAGCGACGACCCCAAGATCAGGTGTTTGATTCAACTGGTTGACAGTATCATCTCTGGCGAGGATTTGAAAGAACAGGCCGGGGGGTTATACTGATTTCTGATTTTTGGTTGGTCTTTGACTTATATTTAAATTTTGCATGCCTTGAGAATCTTGATTCAGGACTTCGAGACGAAAGTCATGGACAATCTCTCGCGGAAGTTCTCCAAAGTTGGAATCGTTAGTGGAAACAACGCTGAGCATCCGCTGAAGCGATTGAAAGTTTTTCATGAGTCGGACTCAGTCGGACTCTGAATGCCAATTCAGTGAAACAAATTAGCTGCTGTCAAATTCGCGTGATCACTGTCACTTGTTGGGGAAAAAGACAGTGCGGCTGATGCCTAGTTTTCACAGTCAGCAGAGGTTTCAAATTCATTCAGATTGATATTGTATTATATTATCTTCTATATGTTGTGCACATTCAAGAAGATGTAATTTTCGATCATACCAACATGTCCAATTCAAACAAATTCAAATCCTGAGTTCACATTCAAGAAGATGTAGTTTTCAAATGCTGTCAAAGTTTGCACTTCTCATTTCTGAGCTGCTCAAACATTGGGACCAGGGCTGCTTAAGCATCGGAACCAGGACTGCTCAAGCATCATGATGGGGAACGCAGCTGTCACGCAATTGCTTCGAAGAAGGGATGCCGTCTACAATGACCTTGCTGCGTTGGAACCGCATCGGGACCGTTTTTTTGCTCTTTTAGAGTACATGCACCCTGGATTTGTCAGAACAACTTTTATCTTGACTTATTATTATTGCAGTTGTTTGTTGTTGCTGGTGTGCTGTGCTAGTTATGTTGTTTGTTTAAAGTTGTTTGTTATTGTTGTGCTCCGAGGTCCAACTTCCTGGGCAATGATGAAGTGACGAATTTATCGAGGCGGTGGCAAAGATCAGACATGAACGTCCATCACCTTGATAAGCGAAGCCAATGGTTAGCGGTGAGGATTTTCTTGCCGAACTTCCATGGAAGAACGAATGTGACAAAAGTTGGAGATTTGCACGAGGCCATGCTTCAAAGCATGACTGAAGATAGAAGCTTCGATGATGTCTTGCCAGCCTACAAGACGTTCGCCAACAACGTCATGCTTCTCCAAGGAACAAGGCTTGTGCACTACAACTGGGATCGGTTTAAGCTGCAGGTACATGACTTGGAGACGCTGGATGCCTTTATTGCACCTTTGCTGGGCGTGTTGTTTTGTTGATTGAACTTTTTTGATTTGTGTTCTTTCGAACTTTGTTTTTTAGTAAGAGAAGTGATGCGTAAGAGCAGTGATGCGTATTAAGGAAGCCATCATTGCGGAGAACCGACCCCTGCCAGCATTGCCTGCTGTTCCGCCTCCGGGTCTAGCCGCCAGTGGTGCCAGTGATCAAGCTCAGCCGTCAGTGGTGCCTGTTGCCTATCAAGCTCAGCCGCCAGTGGCACCTGTTGCCTGTCAAGCTCCGGTGCCGGTGCCAGTGATGAAAGCGGCCCCGATTGCGAAATCGCCGCCTCCGGATCTTCCTCAAGGTGACGACGACCAAGGCCGCACTGACACCAACCAAGGCCACACCAACCATCAAGCTGACGACCAAGGCCACCAAGGCGACGGCCAAGATTGGCATGGGGGCTGGTGGAGCCGAAATGATTGGCATGGGGGCTGGTCGAGATGGCAATGACCCAGTTTGATTTTGGAATAGGCTAGTGAGCAATGGCTTCTAGCCCTCGGAATCTTGAAGCGAAAGCTTTCCCTTGAAGCCTTGAAGCGAATTGGCTCCCAAGAAAGAGATACACTAACTCAAAGAGTTTAAGTGAAAATTGGGA